AGGGAATCAATCTTGAATATTCCCTTTACGAGCTATACACCTGGGGCACTCTCAACTTCCCTCCCGAGGTTTAGTATCGCGACAGTCAGCCTCACTCGCAAATGTGTGTACAGAGCTCGACTGCTTCCTGCTATCGTTATGCCGTGTGTTTTGTTTGTAAATAATTCGTCGCGGTAGGGTGGCCACGATCGTCAAACGCATCCACCCCTCGGCCACGGAATTCCTGGTGGTTATGGTTCGGTTGGAGGGTGCGGTGACGCGGACATCCACACGGTATTTCCATATGGAGAGGGTGAGCCGTTAAAAATTTTCCACCGTCGCAATATTGTACATTTTTTTTAGGACTAATTGTTGAATAATGGATCGATTGAACTTTTACTCGTTTGATAATTAAAAATTCATGAGAAAGTTACAATGGTGGGTTTAAAGCATCAGCTGGTGCGGTGGGGTTATCAATTTTGAGGGCACTTGATAAAATTTTAGATGATTAAATCGATAGACTAGACTAAATCCTCTTGAAAATCTCCAATTATGGGATAACTCCCAGAATAATTCCTCTTAGTAATGAAATACTTGATGTAACAAGCCATTAAAATCAGAGCTCATGTGCAGTTTCGAGGGGAGTTTAGGGAGAATGGAGAATAGATTTTCTGAGGGGCGAAAACTGGGGGGACAGCCATTGACTCTCAGCTAGTGCCGAGTTAACCACAACTTCTTTTCTCATAGAAAATGGTGTACACCCAGGTGAACCCACTCTCACGATAAAAATAAATACGTTTGTTCATACGGTTCTCTGGAGCTCGAAGGAAATTGTATTTCACGTTGGGTTCCTTCGTCTGGTATATGTGATACATAAATAATGTCTGGAAGTTGCGGTGAAGAGGATACGACGAAGGGAAAAATCCTGGGCGACTTTTTCCGATGATTTTTTTTTTCGGCTATTCATGATCGCGAATCGATGCATCAAAATTATTCTCCAAAAATAATTGAGACAGGGCTGAATAATTTATTAGACCTCAACCGGGTTTTATCGACTTGACTAGAAAATAAATGAGGCACGGTCCAGGGGGTGAGTATTTTCGTGCTGGAGCATTTATTTTTTTTTCCCCCCATTTGGTAAGCTAGGGGGTGGTAGGAGGAAAAATACGAGAACATACAGGTGGAAATCGTTTGACGTTAGTTGGTGTGGAAAAGTCGTGGTTACCGCTTTGGAAGCGATTAGAAAGTGCGCACATGACTGTGATACATAAGACCCAATGGAGGTGGGAGGATTTTAAAAAAATATTATAGCCCCGTACAAAACCCACATTAAACGAATAACCCGGACGTTCTTATTCTCTTTTCAGGTTGAGAGCTGAAAAAATGGGGAAAAAAGAAAAGCGAGAAACAGCGGTAGCCAAAAAAAAAAAGAAGTAACAGAACAGAGGAACAAAAAATAACTCAATCTTTCTTTTTTTTTTTCACGTTTTATTTAAAGCCCCTTCTTCTTCTCGAGTTATTTTCATGGCTGAAACGTGTTTACGTACAATTTTTTGACGCGAGAATGCCAGGCATAGTGAAGTAGCGTGTAGAAGGGCTGGGGGAGGGTAAATTGTGTACATGATTTTCATCCCTCGGTTTATATTCCACTTATGCAACACCGAAAGCGTATGTGTATACCTCGTTATCACTCACTTCGCAACCCACCTCCTGCCGTATATCAGTGTGTTTAAGCCGATTTTCATGGTGTTTTACAAATTAAATACGTGCAAATTCATAAGCCGAGTGCGTTTTGCATAATTACACATCGGCGGGGTCACCTCCAATAGGTCAGGTCATCCACAAAAACCAGAATGTTAGGAAACAATGATGAAGGTCATGTGAAGGGTATAAAGAGGTTTTGTTGAGGTCTTAAAGGGCTTGTGGAGGTTTTGTGGCGGTTTTAAAAATCATGATGCAGGGAAAAAAGATAAAAGTCAGGTGGAGGGTGTAAATGGTGGAAAAAGGATTGGTGGAGGTTCTGAAGGGCTTGTGGAGGGTCTGTGGCGGTCCTGAAGGGCTTGTGGAGGTTTTGTGGGGGCTCTGGAGGGCTTATGGAGGTTTTGTGGAGATTTTAGGAAAATCGTCTACCATCCCTTTTAAAAAAAAGCATGTAACGTTTTTTGTCAGCTTTTTTTGGCGCTATGCATATCAAAATATATCTATATAATATGATATATATATATAATATATATATAAATTCCATTAATTTTATATATATTAATTTCTTTTTTATATAATAATATT